CCTCTTCCCTCGTTCCGTACCCCACCCAGCCTCTGCCCTCTGTCCGCCCGACTTCCCCTTGCCGTCTTTCCCCTTCCTCCTGGCCTCCTCCCACCTCCTCCTGTTCCTCTTCACGCTTTTTCCCATGCTCGTCTCCCCCTTACCTGTTCCCACCCAAATCCTAAACTACCTTCTCTTTTCTGCCCTCCCTCCACCCTACTTCTCCCTGCCGCCTCCCTTTTCTCCCGGCCTCCTCTGGACCTTCTCTTCAACTTCCCTCTGCCCTCCCTTTGCCTGGCCACCTCACTCCCCTTCCTTCGCCCAATCTCGGCTTGGCCTCCTTCCCTCAATCTCCTCCGTCTTCCTCCTGTCTCCGCCCGATTTGCACCAACCTTCTCCTTCCCACTATCTCCTTCCCCTGATCTCCTTCCTTGGCCTGATCTCCACCTGACCTCCTCCTTCCGCCCTACTTCTCCCTGCCGCCGTTCCCCTTCCTCCAGGCCTCCTTTCATCCTCCCTTGGACTTCCATCTGCCTGGCCACCTGACTACCCTTCGTTCGCCCGATCTCTGCCCGACCTCCTCCTTTCTCGGCCCAATCACCACCTCACCTCCTCCCCCCACTCCTCCTTCCGTCCTGCTCCCTACCTCCCCCTTCCTCCCTGGACCGGCCGCCTGTCTTTCGTAACCCCCAACCTAAGACGTGCTTCCTTTTCTTTTTTCCGGTGGACGTAAATGCTCCATTTGCTATCAAGATCACTCTATTTCTTTTCAAGATCTCAACACGGTTGCACGCACGCAAGAAAGAGAGAGGGAAAACAGGAGAGAGAAAGACGCATTTCACCTACCACACTTCCTCCTCTCGCTCTTCCTTTCTGGCACCTTCTTTGTCGTTATCCATCTCCTCCACCACCCAACGTACGTCTCCCGCCTCCTCAAGATCTTCCTCCGCAGCATTATCGCTCGCTCCTTTCTCTTTGGAGCGGCCTTACGATTAATCATCGAACAGCCCCGCACCAGCTATTTCAGGCTGTCGATATTTCTTTCCATATTTCACACTCTTCCTCCCCAATCCCTACACCCACCACACTGAGTCAGTTCTCTCTCTCTCTCTCTCTCTCTCTCTCTCTCTCTCTCTCTCTCTCTCCCCTCCCCTCCCCACCCTAGGCTGACCCACTTGCCTTCGGTGACCTCCATCCCCCCATTATCTACCTCCTCCCCCAGAAAACTCCCGCCTCCTCAAGATCTTCCTCCGCAGCATTATCCCTCGCTCTTTTCTCTTTGGAGCGGCCTTACGATTAATCATCGAACTGCCCTGCACCAGGTATTTCAGGCTGTCGATATTTCGTTCCATATTTCACACTCTTCCTCCCCAATCCCTACACCCTCCACACTGAGTCAGTTCTCTCTCTCTCTCTCTCTCTCTCTCTCTCCCCCCTCCCCCCCCCCCCCTGACCCGCTTGCCTTCGGTGACCGCCATCCCCCAATTATCTACCTCCTCCCCCCCAAAAAAGAGAGGAATGCAAGGCTCCTTTTCTTGATTTTTTCAAAAGAGGTTGGGGGTGCGAGTTCAAGGTGAAGAAGCAACACTCACTGGAGTCGGCCATGTTGGGGAAGCCTCCAACAATGTAGCAGCAATCCACGTTGAAGCTCACGTCGGAGCACTTAGCAGAAATTCACAATCCATGCACGAACCACCGATCCACGAAGCTCCGATTCACGAAAGTACCAACTCACAAAGTACGAAGCACCAAAGCACTAAGAACGAAGCCCCAAGGAGCTCGGGCCACTGATTCACGAACCATGAAGCGCGAAGCACCATACAGCGAATTCACGGAGCATCCACAATGCACCACACACCAAATCCACAATGCACCAAGCAACGAATTCACGAAGCACCAAGCACCGAATCCACAATGCAGCAAGCACCAAATTCACGATGCACCAATCACCACGATGCTCCAAGCACCGAATCCACCAAGTAGCAAGGGCGAAGCAGGAAGCATGACGCACAGAATCTACGATGCTCCAAGTACGGATCCACGGAAGCACCAAGCTCCTAGTTCACGACAGCACCAAGCACCGAATTCACATAGAACGCCGAAGCACGTACCACAAAGCGCTGAAGCACGGACCAAGTACCACAAAGCACCAAAGCGGAAGGGCGGGGGGGGAGAGAGAGAGAGAGAGAGAGAGAGAGAGAGAGAGAGAGAGAGAGAGAGAGAGAGAGAGAGAGAGAGAGAGAGAGAGAGAGAGA